GGGTTTTCTGTATATGTATACTCGATTATAACATGATAAGTTACTAAAAAAACTATTCATAAATATCATTTGATTACTATATTTGGTTGAAGAAGCGTTTGAACCAAATTGAAGAGATTGTGTTCTCGCCCAATCGACTGTTTGTATTCAGTTACCTATTTCTGTGAATGAACATTCCTCGTTGTCATAAACGAAGTCATCACTCTGTACACAATTCAATGGTTTATTCATGAGTGCATTGAGTACATACATCATATACATATAGTAAAAGATGTATGCGTACCAAGGGCGGAGGGAAAGAAAGACAATAATCCTGAGAACCCATCTAGAAATTTGAGTATGCCGTGCGAGTAGGTACAGGAAATACGCTACTAAAATTTTTAAGTAAGAAGAATGAATGTATTATTTACTACGTCGGTCGGGCCGGTCGGTTACGACTTTGCGAAGAGTTATAACGGAAGGTGAGCTGCGACAAATGACATGGACACGAGAATAAAAAACAACGCGACATTATCTTGATGTCTTATGCGATTCCACTCCGGAGATCGTAAACTTTGGCCGTGGGGTGGCTCGAAACAGCCACCCTCGCCTGAGACAAGGGAATAAATTGTTTTCGAAAAATCGAAATTTGATGAATACTTGAAATAAAGTACCAAATGCAGACACGCTTACACATACACATATACAAATCTCTGGAAAATACTATAGCCTTATTGGCTTTTTCTTCCATCTTATTTATGACACCCATTCCAACAATCTCATTCGCTGTACTAGTTTTTCCTTATGCATTATCATATGGTTTACATAGTTTGGGTTGTCATTATAACGAGCTGTATGTCCCTTTGTTGCATTGCCTGCAGCTAAGGTTTCCACTATACAGCCTATTTCGTACTGGTGTCCTTCAAATGACCAGTGTTCGGTGGGCAGCTCTTTGATTATTATGAACTGATCTCTGCATTGTTGAAGCATTTCCTCAATTTTCTTACCGGACGATCTTTCCAGGAAAAGTATTCCGTGTTTGTTTCAGATATGTCTTTCTGGTGCTCTTCCTGATGTGGTCCCGTACCAAAGATTTTGCTACGTAGCCCCACAGCTGGTTCAGGGCTTGTATAGAACCTTAACCAGCGTAAGCTGAACTAAACCGAGATAAAAATGTATCATCATTATCATTATACGAAGTTGATGAGCCATGTCTGGCTCATAGCGAGCTAACAATTCCTAAATTTTGATATGCATACATTTGGAATTCAATTTTCCACATACGCTTTTTATTAATGTTTTCATTTGCTAATGATATAATCATCACTTCGAGTTTTTAATTTAGAGGCTGACTTAAATAAGAAAATGAGTTGTTCCGAATATTTTGGATAATAGGATGCATTTGATAAAAATCAAAAATAATTTAAATTTGTATGCAAGCAACTCCACCTCACTGATTTCTGTTGAGCTAGATAAGGTATCCAAATCTCCCCGAAAGTAGGCAGAGCAGGCGATAATACTCGTCCTACCCTTCTTACCTGTTATTACCCTTCCTGATGACCAGACATGCTCTGGGTTTCACCCCAGGGTACGCCATTACCTCGCCAGGAATATTGCTCAGTCCGGTTACTCAGCCTGTATTTCCTGTCCATGGTTCCTGCTGGAAAGCAAGGTCGATAAATTCGTCCTTGAATTTTTTACCAGGGATGTATGAAGCGGCCTTGGCATGTTGTAAGTTTGCCAGCAAACACTTGAAGTTAACGAAGTGTTGCCGCAAACTCTTCGACACTAGGAGGGAGAAGATGGGGGATCCTCAAAGACACCTTCACCCTCTCTACCAGGATTGAGAGATGAGTAGGCTCAGATGATAAGGTGAGGACACCTGCCATCTCTGAGTAGCCTGCTGGTTTTTTGGATCATTTTCAAGGGATGATTTTCGTGTTCGCTTTCGAAAAGCCAAGTCTAGGTTTTTTCCTGGTTTTCTCGACGAGACGTTAGCCGTCTTCGTCTCCCGATAATCAACTGGTTTCCTAGCCTCGGGATGGGTATGAGCCGCTGGTTTATCCCTATGTTTGTGTGGAGGTTTGGTTTAACTCCTCCCCATTGGTGGATTTCCACTCGGCCCCGCTTTATTTACTCTAACGGGTACATTAGAGTGACTCAATTGAGTAGTTCCCAGGTTTTAGGGCGGAATGAAACCTCCCCAATATTAAAATGTTGTCTGAAACCCTTCCTCACCAGCACGGCCATGGACCCATCGTCAACAGCAAACGTCCATGTTTGACTAGGGTCTGACTTTTTCTTGTGGGGAATAGTCCACTCCAAGGTTAACAGACCATGGTTAATTTTCCTCAATCTAGTGAGGACCTGGTTGGAAGTCAGTCTGTGACTGCCTCCGTCAGATAGTTGAGCAACACAGATGTGTGGCTTTGGAAGTTGGTCCCCTGTGACGCATTTCAGAGAAGCGCCCTCCCACGGCTGCAGAGTATTAACTACACCAGCAAGCCAGTCAGCGCTAACCTCTAATGATCAGATGAGTAGTAACTACCCCAACTTTCACCCTTCTAGTCAAAGTATTTACCACTGAACTTTTGATAATAGCTGGGAGCTGTCAACGCAAACTCTTTCTACATGCGATATTGTCATATTTCTAAACAAGTACCAAATCCTTCTTGAAATTTCGTATATTGTCTACTTCATTTCTTTTGATAGGCTTCTTCTAGCTTGTTTTATGAGTTTAGATTTTGCCATCGTGTACTATATTACACGCAATTAGAAACAAATCTTATCGTATATATTTCGCGATTCATGTTTTTGAATCAGTTGAAGTCAATACTAATTTTACAATCACGGTATAAAAAGATTGAGTCGTCGTTAATCCTCAGTCCCCTCACAATCAGATAATAATTTTTGTACTGATGATTTGTTCATCACATACTTTTGAAATGATATTAGCTTAATTTTTGTAGCTATTAAGATTATCTACCACTAATTGTCTTAAACATCAGATCAGATTTGGTAACCTAAAATTCCATAATAGGATGCATTAAATTCTCAGAAATCTTATTGTATTAAAACGAAAACATTGTTGTCAAGTTGTGATTCTATATATTTTATCATCATTTTTCCTCATCTATTTGGTATAGTTTCCGTACGATACTGCAAGAGACAGATTAACGCAAAAACGTCAGTCATTTCTGAGAATTTAGTACCTACTATTTTGGAATTATAGTATAGAAGTGGTTTTTTTGGAACCAATAAATAGTAATAAAACACCTTGTGAAAAATCTTCAAAAGTAATTCAATTTCACTTGAATAGATAAAATCAGATGAAGAAATAACTATGCGTTGAAATAACTTATATCGCGCTATTAGAGAAAGAACATTGTTGCCAGCTTTTTCTTATTTTTTTACCAATACTATGTAAATGAAAACAGAACTTTACCGATATTGTTTGGATTTTGATGATAAAATTACACTGCTTTCGACAATTGACAACTATTCATTCCATTCGATTTTGGTCTACTTGAGCTGCATCATCTGTTTCATCAGTTCTTCGACTTATTTACTGTTTCCTCTTTTGAAGGTTGGCTTTTAATGTTTTCAGCAATCTGGTCCTAATACAAATAATTTAATTTTGTATACTTTATGTAAACAAGTACTTTTGAAACTTACGTTATATAGAGACATCAGATAGTTTGATAAAAATAAATTCATTTTGGATTCATTGTGGAGCTATAGCTTGAATTGGGGTGCTGGATAGAGATAATGATACATCAGCAGAAATAGATTGGTTAAGATGTACTCAGTCAGAAGCGTGAAATAAAATATTAGTAGAAATATTTTTGAAATCAGCTTTTCATTGAAAGAATAAAATGAGTTTTGTTCAGAAAAGAGTATTTTTTTTAAATAACCATATCGGCCAATTTGCTATTAGCATTAATACATAGTAGCAGTGATTATATACAAGCTATTTCATTTCATGTAAAATATTTCCAGCTTGATGGGAATTCCATTAGATACTCCTTCGAAGATATGTCGGCTATTTGACGACATTTCAATCAGAAAAATTATTCTGGTTGAGATAATTCGCCATTCTGCGGCGTCCGCCATATTGGAAATGAAACTCTTTTATGTTCTCCAATGTATTTGCAAAATGTTCATCTCGTTAGACTTATACGAGTATATAAGTTGGAACAAGAACCAAAACTTGTGTATTTCAGATCTGTCAAATACCGTTGTTTTGTTTTTATATTAAAAGAAGCTAATTCAATCAGTATTCAATAATCCAACGTCCCCTTAACCCTTATTTTGAAAAAAATGCGTCTATGAGAATAGGTTATTATTCTTTAATGTTTCACTATGTTTCTTCAAGAAAAATATTCAATAGTCTGTGAAGCATACTATTGAATGCAGACTACTTTCTCTTTGATTGAATTCGCTAAGATATTTTTCAGGTAAATAAAATCACGATTCTTTTTCAGTGGTACTTTCGAAAGATGCTTGCTCAATACAGGCAATATTGATATTGAATTACATAAACATCCCTAATCAACAGTTCAAGAGAAAGTAGTAGTGCCATGTATAACCTATTTTTTTGTTATTTTCTGTATATTAATATAAGTAGATAGTCAGAAAGTTTTTTCTTGAAACGACCGTAACATGAATGCATTAATATTGCTCTTTTTTCAGTCTGTAGAGAGTTAGTAATTTGGAAAAACTTTTAGTTGAAGGAAATGTTTTGTTATTTCAGACATTCACAATAAAACACGTTTTATTTATTAAACGATTTATTCGGAAATATGAGACAAAAATGCGAATAATATTGTAAATAAACATCAGTTTCCATCGTGACTAAAAATATCACTTTGTACACATGAAGAAAATGTGGTTGGAATATTCAAATAAACTGTACCAAAATGAAAAACTGCAAAACCATTGATCAAAATATAAAACAAAATATTTTTATTTTGAGTGGCGCATTTTCCAACATATACTTTTATTTCATATATTCATAAATAGGTTACTGACACTTCTATTTACATGCTCTATAGATATACAGAGCGATCAAAAATAATCATTATATTGCAACAGTTATCTCAATCTTCTTCCAAGCCGCAGTGTTGTCAGTTTGAGTTTTCCAATAGTCATCCTCCTGATACTCTTTCTAATCAACCAAGAAAATGGCAGGGTTGATTTAGCCTTGGGATATAGTGCCTGTAATGTATTCATTAAAAAATGATCATTGTTGATCCCTCTGTTCTACAATTCACAGGTCGCTTACAAACAGATGTTCGAGCAGGAACTTTACAATAAGCATATTCATCCATGGACGCCCATATTTTGAAAGACGCGGTAGACCTAAAAAGGTTCTTGAAACGAATGAGAACGTTTTTGCTGACAAGGTGAGGAAATTCTTCCTCATAGTTCCACCAAATATTGATATAGAATACCAGGAGGAATATAATTCCGCTCTGTGAGAATTTGATCTTGTAGTAAATTGTATAATATATTCAAACCAACTGCTCCATGTGCGTCCATGTGAACATTTTCAAGCTCACAAAAAGCCAAACAATATATTTGCCTATAAACGTGTTTCCAAAAAACAGCTAGAACAAGTCAAATCTTAGAAGAACTCTGGAAGTAACACCAAAAACACAAAAATTCCAATAAATCTTCCTGAAACTTTAACTTCAGTGATACCCGTCTGCTGAGCAGACAAGTGTCACGGCAGAAGTGAAAATCTTTACTCTTCTTCAATGGTCCGAATGTGAAAAATTAAAAAAAAAACTAATCAGAAATAGCTGTTCTACATACACCAATATAACATCAACTTATTTCCATATGAAATTTTCCATAGCTAGGATTGTTAGATCATGGAAAATTTAGAAAAGCTCCTGAATACTCATCTACGATTATCGAAATAACACATTCACCCCCAATTAGACTAAACGGATCAAAACCTTCAAACTCTACTAGCAACCACATAAAAGCTATTGCAGATACGAACGGCTGATGAAACATTTTTTTAATTATTCCATTAATAAAATTATCATTTCACTTCGTTCAAAGCAGCCAGTTTAGTAGTTCATTCGAAATCAAATCACATTCGAGAACTCAAAGAACCTTCTCATGATACACACTAAGGATATTGTTGAGAAATTGTACATCCTCTAAGAATACACAACCCAAAACCATCTCACAGTTTAAACAAAAAAAATGTATTTGTTTCTTGAGTGGACTGTATAAGCTGGCAATTACCAGCAAATATTCAAAAACTCTATTATAGAACTAACGAAATCTTATACATAACTCAAACACATGTTTCGACCTCACTTTCCTTTGAAGCACTAACGCAAAAGCCAAGGAAGTCATAGTGCATTTATTACCTGTGATGACAAAAGTCAAACTAATCGGGCCTAATTTCTTGGATGAAATACATAAAATAAAAAATATTAGTAATTGTTATTTCTTGTCTGCTGTTTCACATTTCGACTAGTGATCTTGTTATGAAAAATAAATTTTGTTAAATGATAAACGATTACTATTTTTGTTTTGTACATCTTTTTTTTAATGTTACATTTTGTATGTCGTAATGTAATGTTTTTTTATGTCGATTTTACAGACGTAAAACAATGTCTTCAATATATGAAGTTTATTCAATGCATTTCGAATATAAATGATGATTGAAACTATGATTTCCAAAATAGTAGGCACTAAATTCTCAAAAATGACTGACGTTTTTTCTCGTGCAGTGGTGTATGGAAATTTGACTTAACAGATGAGGAAAAAAGATGATAAAATATATAGAATCACAACCTTGAAAACAGTGTTTTCATTTTAATACAATAATATTTCTCTGAGAATTTAGTGCCTATTATTACGGAATTGTACTGTAGATTTTCCGTTTTGTTTCTTTACATTTATGATAATACTTAAAGTTGAAAATGGTTGTTGATTTTCTATCACTGAACAGACTAAACAGACTTTTATGTATAACTATATTGTATTTGGGCATATTCTGGAATTGTTCCCCAAAACTTGAATTAATTTTATGAATTATACGAAAGGTGAAGAGTTTGTAGAAATATGTTGGGAGATGACAATTTACTTGCACTTAATATTTCATGGGTAATCATTAGTGAAATCGAAACTTCAATAATATAAACAGATTGTAGCTCTATTTATTGTAGACATACATAATTAAATGCTGAGACGGTAATATCTGAAAATTTTCAATTATCTCCAGATTTTTATCTCATCAAGATCCTAAAATCGAAGTAATACTGAACATATCAAGAAACATAAAGATGAATTCAATTGTTAGATTGAAATGTAGGGCAACTTATGACAAAGTTATAGTCTCAATGACTCTCGATAATAATTTAGTGAATTGTTTGTTATACTCTATATTTTTCAAAAAGTTGTTATAACCTAAGCTTCTGTGGAAAAAGTTCAGTAAGCTGAAGTTTAGGTTCAGATTCAATCATGCATTGCATAAAGAACCTTCTCCTCAGTATGTTTTACCCAATACACAATTTTACAGATAGCAGGATGTTCCATACTGCCAAGACCTAGACTTTGTCTCAATATCAGCAGTGCCACGGGATTGCTATATTAGAAATATCGGGGAACAACCGTTATTGCAAACACGAGGTTTTTTTGTTCACACCAGAAGTTATTCAGTCCTCGCCAGCTTTTGATAATCTACAAGGGCCACATATGCTTATATTTTCTATGATGATGAAAATAATGATTCAATATCCAAAACAGGACGTTTCCAAATACCAGAACTACAATTCTCTTCTCTGTAAATAGCAAAGTCTTGTATGACACCTATGAAAAGTGATGAAGACCCCATTCCAAATAGCCCTTTTTATGAAATACTCTGTTGAAAATAGCAGAAACTTTCACGAGAAAAATTCCCACGAGTGAAAGTGTACCCTGTTAGATATAAATAAAGACCAGCTTTAAGGTTAGGGATTAGTGTACTTCATTTCTTGAAGATGAAGTTGGTGAAACGCGCACCTAGAAGTGTTGTAGTTTCATAATGATTCAGAAGTTTCGAATTGAAAAACATTATATTCTTAAGGTGTTGGATTTATCGAAATGAATGAAATAGTAATGACTTCTTAGTTCGACTTCAAAGTTATTGATGTTTGCTTGGACATAGAAATGACACCACCATGAATAACAAATATGAGCAAACCATAGACGACACATGTCAATAATTAGTTTCATTGTCTAGAACAAGTTATATGGGTTTCAGTGTGAAAAGGTATACTCTTTAGTTTTCTGTAAACACCAAACAAAATAGTGGAGATGATTTAGACCATCTACTGGAGGCGAAAATTTCAGTATTTCAATTGAAATTTCAGCAGGAAGGTTCAGACAATTAAAGGATACACATTGCCAGTCATTTTTAGTCATTTTCCTGTGACCTTCGGACCTTAAAGTTGTTCGCAAAACTTGTTGCCAGTTTGAAAATAGATTATTTTTCAATTCAATTGTGATAGGTTCATTTAGTGAAAAAGTAATGAAAATAGTTTTTTATCGACCTTTTTTTTGGGTATTTGTTACCTTCCACAATCTGAAAAATATAAAAATTATAATGGAGAACTTTATACAAGTGTAGAAGGGCAAACTTTTTAGTTCGCCTCGATAAGTTACTGCGTGAAAATCAAAGTATTTTTCACAAAGAAACATCTTCTATTTATCAGTAACTTGTCGTATTTAACAATTTTGCCTATCAAAAAAAATTATTAAGAAATAATACTTATCTATTACGTTTCGGAGGCCAAAATCTGCCTCCGTCTTCAGAAATTAATAAAAAATTCGAATATATTCGCAGTTATTCCTTTTTTGATAGCTTATTTCTTTACTTCTTCGACAGATGTCAAAAAAAGGTCGATAAAAAACTGATTTTTCCTCCACAAAAAATGACTTTCATTGAATAATGAAAATAGTAATACAGCAATATCAACAAGCCGACTACATCAAGTACCAAATCTCATGCACGTGGGGTGTTTTAAATTGGTATATGAATGTACCTCCTTCTATTATGCTGTCCAACCTTCAACCCTTTATTTTGATACTATGTGATAATATATTGTCAAATTGAAACCTGTCTAGCCAGCTCTATGTATGAACATGAACATGTTCACAAAGTTATTGACGATGAAACAGCTTGTCGAAGATGAAAATGCACATTGGGGTTATCATCTAAAAATTAGTAGGATTCAGGAACTGTACTAGTATTCATAATTGAATCATAAGTACTCAAAATCATTAAATGGAGAGACCAAAAAGAAAGTGACTGCGGTTATGTGATATTTGTTATGTACGTTTCCAATAGTAAACGTTTCTACAAATTCGTTCTATATTGAGCTGTTTCACCAAAGTTCAGCTGATATTTCAAATATGAATAACCAAAATAGGTATCAACTATATAACTAGTTTTTACTATAATACTAACAATTGCATTATAAACCAACTCGAAAGTTTTTCGTTTTTATAAAAGATTATGTTTTTCAGTGGCGACCTAATTTTCTCTATTAGTATCAGCTAGAATGATTTTTTGTTAGATAATTGTCGAATTCAATATAACTTGTTATCTCTAACACTACACAAAATACTGCCATGCATATTCTGTAGAAATTTTCATATACAACACCAGCTTTGACTCTTGTGCGCTTTGGAAATGATTTTTTTCTACCTTTCACTAAAATATTTTAAGGTATCTGCTAGCAGACATAAGCTGCAGATATAGGCAGTGAACTGTTACTGTCCATGCAGTGAATGTAAAAACAATGAGCAAATATAGCCCAGCAGTTGAAACACAATCCAATGAGACGGTGTAAATTAAATGTTAAGGTAAAACTGTCCCACAAGGATGTGCATTAGAACGGACCAGGTAGTTTATAAGTACAGATCATATGGGTGGACGGCCTTCGTAGTGTAATTTAGGACTCAAAGACCACGAGTAATTGTTCATGTAATCGCAACACCTCGGTTCGAAAATACAAGTTAGACATACGAAAGTCAAGAAGACTAGCTGGAAAGCTAGGGAAGCTTTGAAGAGGCGCTTGAACCAAGATTCGGGGTGTGGGTCGTTTCCGGGATCACCACCCCCGTCACCGGATACTGCTTTTGATAGAGGTGCCAGCGGCTCTTCTTCTGGAAGGGGTCTGAAACAAACGAGACATAAGTCAATTACCATTTTGAAAATACTGTTGAGTTTAGAACAAAGACACGAAAGGGTTATTATCTGAAGGAAAGTAATTTTTATGCAGGAGTTTCTTCACTGAACAGTTTAAAAAAACCTTTATACGTGTTTTACCAACTTAGTGCTTCATATACATTCATATTACGAAATATATGACTTTGTTTACCTACTCAATGACTAATAATTTCGCCAGAGTTCACGTATCAACTAACTACCGAATGAGACATTACAAAAAAATTTAACGCACAAAATCATTAAGATGGACAATATGGGCATATAACGATATAAAAGTTTATGTATCAACTAATTATTAATTTAAACACATTTCAGTCCCAGAAACTTCGTTCTTGTGACATTTCTGGATATCATAGGAGAACCAAATGACATATATTCACAAGTTCTCTGGGGATTATGAAATCTAGGGCATTTTGTTTTATTAATATTAAAGAAGAAGGTTCACCAAAAACCAATTATCAACTACGGATAAAGTTTCACATTTTTCCATTATGGAACTTTCACCAGTGCGTTGGAAATTATAAGTGAGGTGTCATCTGCGTACATAGTGAAGAGTGCTGGCACAGAAAGCTCATCAATGTCGATGATGTAAAGTATGAATAGCAAAGGGCCAAGTACTGACCCTTGTGAGACACCGAAGTCTTTTTCAAGTACCCAGATGACTCGTTTTTAATTGAGACTGTCACAAAGGTATGACCGTATCCAATTCAGAGATGTGCCCCTCAAATCATAGTGGTAGAGTTTATCCAAAGGAATTGTGTGATTTACACAGTCGAATGCTCTGCTATATGAGATCACAAAAAAATCTCAACAGGGCATTCGCCTACCTCATCAATTTGTGATAGAAGGAGTAGAGTGATGTGGTTGTCGATATCTTACTTAGAAATCCATGTTGATTGCCTGATATTGAATTATTTTTATCAATTTATGATGAAAGTTGATATGCATAAGTGTACTCGAAAACTTTGAAGAGACTATAAGGAATTGAATTCTCACAAATGATTTAGAAGTAAAACACCACTACACATTTTTTGCGACCACGTCATATTCATTAAAAACATATAGAAAAGGTAATGAGAATGACGTTAATTTGAAATTAATATTTGAAACTGATAAGTATCATTTATTATTCTAACAGATTAGTTATTTTTTATACTATATTCAGTTCTCGATTGTTAGATAGGATGATTTATTAGAAATCATGGAAGGTGAAAAAAGTCTCAAATTTTCCATATTAATATATATTCAAACATTCCGGGGGCGCCCCCTCACATCCGCCATTATAAATACCAGACAAATTATGGATGTACCTTTCTTTCACCCTCACTATGGCTCACGATACAATCATATGAACGTTTTTCCCTCAGAAGGTCTTTCACCCCTTACCGCTTATGTACACATAATAATTATAAAATATGACTGAATTCGTCTTAGAGCATTCATCTTAACTGAAACTCGGTCTCGCGCAAGATAAGTGATTTGCTGTTCATTTAATGTTATTAATTAAAGTAGATCCATGTTCCCTCACGAATCGGTAAGAGGTCAATTAATCTGAAGCAGCGCCATCCCGCGCTCAGCGGGACCGCAGCGAAGCTCGCGGTAATCCACCGGGATTCACTTGTTATTGCCTGAACTTTAAAGATGGGCTTCACCACTACTCATTTTTCATAACTTGACCGCTGCTCCAGCTCCTAGCGGAAATAAGGCGGTGGCTACACAGCCGTCAGTTCAGTTTATATCAAATGGGGACTGAATTCAAAAACTTGGTGAATATAAATTCTACAGAAACAATTTTGAATATGTGTGATAGAATTGATCGATACTCTCAAGGGTAACCATATACAGTTCTGGCTATAATAACAAATGAAAAGGCTTTTATTGAAAACAATTAAATTTGTGTGTGTAACTATTGATCCATGTTAATATTATTTACATGTATCACGTGATGGCTCAAAGCCAGTATGAATAAATAGATAAATATATTTTTTTCTTTATTTACTACAATCTTGTTTCCTTTGTGGGATATTCAGCAACGCTTTGTTGTGGTTTGCCATAAGTGGCCAGGCTAGAGTATTTGGTTGTCATTCAATGTGCTCCTTATATGTTCGGGTATGGCGTATGATTTGCTGTTTTGGAGTGGGCAGGCGTAGATCACGGTGTGATATTTCGTTGGGTACAAACCAGGGGACATTGGTTATCATGCGGAGTGCTTCATTTTGAAACCTTTGTATACTTTCAATGTTTGAATGAGATTCACTACCACACAGTCGGATTCCATACGTCCGCATCGTGTAGGCCCATAAGTTACCTACTCCATCCAAAATATACGAATCTCTACTGCTGCAACGAATCTTGCCCATACTAAAAGAGAAGGAGCACTATCAACCAAGTGCACAGACTAGCAAAACATACCATGACATCACTGGAAGGTGATTCTTACTGCACCAGTGCATTCTTGGACATATCCCAAGCGTTTCACCGCGGGTGGCATGAAGGATTGTTATTCAAATTGAAAAATCTGCTATCAGATTACCTTTCTCCAATAGCGCCATTTCATAGTACAAGGGAAAGCACTGTCTGATCTCTGCCCTATAAAAGCAGGAGTTCCGTGGGGCAGCATTCTGAGTCCCATACTCTACTTACTCTTCACTGCGGATCTGCCGACATCTGAATCCTCAATTACCGGAATCTTTGCTGACGATACTGGAATCCTAGCTATACATAGCGACTCAAAAATAGCCCCACAAATACTCCAAAAATGGCTAAATGTCATATCCCACTTGCTCCAAAAGTGCCAGATGAAAGCAAATGAAGCAAAATCAGTCATTTTAACATTTACCTCAAGAAAAGACTTTTGTCCTCCAGTCACAATCAACAACATTGCAATTCCACTAGCAGATCATGTGAGATACCTTGGATCACACTTGGACAGAAGACTTACCTGATAAAAACATATTTTCACTAAGAGAATGGAACTTGGTATTCAAACGCGAAAACTTAAATGGATCATTGGACGAAAGTCTCAACTGTCTCTCGAAAACATTATATCTCAATGTGGAGTGCAGTAGATTTGCGAAGCATGAAAACTCAAAGTCGTCTCCACAATTTATTATCACCCTCAGATGTTAGTATGGTAAAACCATCAATCAGTACATGTTTCGAACCTATATAAGTTCATCATCAGCTAATTATTTAAAAAATAAGCTGTATACGTTATAAAGTGTTACAGAGGTGTATGAATTAATACTCAGGCGTTCCCTTCAATGCTGAAGATTTATCATAACAGTTTGAGTTGAAATGTTGTTCTTGGATATTCATGACGTGGGAGATTTTGATCGACCTCGATTGTGAAGTGAATTTATTTCGAGCAAATAGGCCATAATGAAGATCATGAACCAAAACTTTGAATTAATTAATTTCCACCGACCTAAAAAATCATATCGACACCTTATTTGAATTCTTAACAAGAACAAAATAACATATTCTAAATGGCCTGAGAATATTTATATGAGTGCTTGATTGATGAAGAATAAAATGGACCAAAACCTGTGTAGAAGAAGAAGATGAAAATCCATATTCAAAAAAAACTAATAAATAGAGTTTATTCCATGATTTTCACTATAAGGGTTTTACAAAAACCGCGACACGTGTTTCGCTATACAATAGTACATACAAGTACATAGTCATTAACTGTCATATGTATGTTTAGAGTTTTCAAATCTGTATGTAGTTTTCAAATGAAATGTCGAGAAAAGCTATACATTTTCATCATCATAATCTGTTATAGCATTAATAGCCTCACATAGTGTTGTTAGTTGGAACTGCTTTTAATCGTTTTCGTTTTCTTCGTCAATATTACGGTCATTACTTTCAGCTTCTGCAAAAATCTCTTCCTCAGTAACTAAGACGCACACATCCATTTATTCCAAAGAATTCCTCCATTTCAATCATGGTTTTTGTTGTAGTATATCTGTCTAACTGAGCAGTCTATTATGCTAGTGGTATGTTGTCATATTCATCTGAAGGATATTGTATTATTCTCGCTAGCGAAATACCATTATCGTTCTCCTCTTTTGATAGAGAAAGATTTTTGAAACCTGCATGGCAAAAGCAGTTGGCTATAATATGGTGGTCTGTCTGACCTTTTCCCAAGCTTCCGATATCATTAGAATTGCATCTAGAATACTAAACCTTTTTGTATTTTCGCCGTTTTCAATATTCTGAAGCATTTGCAGTACTTGAAAGTTTCCTGTACTGTGTTTTTAAAGGTTTTATCACTCCTTGGTAAATGGGTTAAAATATAGAGGTGGCACTTATATTGTAGAGTTTGAAACTCCACATTGCTTTGCAATTTGACTATTTGACCTGAAATGTGTGACTTTTCTTCAATATTGAACACTTTCCTCTTTTTTGCGACATGGTTACGTGAAAACACACGATCAAAACCAAAACTTATCAAATAAATCTTTCACGTTTACAACTATCGCCCTACATAAGTTGTGAAAGATGCAAGGTCAAATGACAAAGCTCAAGAGGTTCGGAAAAGGTGAGAGAAAGTGCTCAGTTGATAAATGAAAATATTCCTCGATAGATTAGAATAAGTTTGTATCCGATGTAAGCTGTATCCGATGTTGTTATAATCGGTATGTTTACTTAATTTCCATTCGGTCATTATAACCGATCCGGCGTTATAAAGGATATCGTTATATTCGGTCTCGACTCTAGTTCTATTATAAGAAGCATATATCAAGAATTACTATCATAAGGATTTTTTGCAAAGTCACATGGTTATTATTCCACTGTTGCGAGAATGGGTATTTAAACTTCGATAACTTTGAAGTGCTCACGCGAATCATTGCCCAAATAATTATGTACTGTTTTTCTCATATCTCTACTCATTTCTCTTACCTGAGGCGATCTATCGATGTTCCCGAACATGCGGCAGTACGAACAATGAGGGATCGACATCGGAGTTGCAATGCTTTCAGTTCTTCTTCTGCCGCATTCAGTTTTTCTCTCATCATCAGCCTAGCCTTGGAGTCGGGAGACAAACCAACTTCCAACTGACGTACTAGTCGACGAATAGCCGATAGGCGTCGTTGTCGCTCTCCGATTTCTTGCTCAGAACCTTCATCGGAGATGCCGCTGTCGGAGAAAGAGCCTTCGGTGATGATGTCTTGGAGTGGGTTGTAGCTCTGGAACAATAGAGACAAAAAGACCATTTAGCTTTAGGAATGAATATATATATATATATATATATAACGAAATATTTGATCAACTTCGGGGTATGTTGTTTCGGTCACACCTATAACTTGAGAATCACAAAGAACTCGAGTATAAGAATCTTCAAGATAATTGAGGGTTTGAAGGAAATACAGAAAATCCGACAAGGGTACGCCTCCAAGACATGAGATGTCAGAAACTAGACGCAATACATATTTTCTTTCTTTATCTAATCCATGGAAAACAGAGAGTGGATGATGAAATATCTGTTGTTGCGAGATTGTTCTATGTATTATTTTCGGCGCAGTGTGTGCAGCTGGGAGAAAGGTAAAACTGGAACCTCTGGCGTAGAATAAATTCAAAACGAGCGCTTTTTCCAATCACCAGAGCTGCAATACCCTTCTCGACCCTCCACTCTTCACCAATCAAGTTGGCGTCTTCAGCAGGTAAAGAAAACTAATTCCTAAGTCTGAAACTGGTCCTTATCCATATTTAACAGGGTACACTTTCACTTTCCGACACACATCAATAATTTTGGGGACAAATTTCATAGTGAAAATTTTGGAACTGTTCATAGTTGTTATTCCACACTTTTCGAAAGCATCCAAGAACATTTTATTTTATTTTATAACGGTTATGCAAGTCGTGTTGAGCAACGCTAGAGGTTTCTGGTCTTTGAAATCGAAAACGTCCTGCGTGTTCCTTGTTTTGAGTTTCAATGGCGCGCTTAATCTGACCGATATATTCCTTGGTACAGTCTTCACAGCTCATTTCATATATCCTCGTATTTTAATTTTCTACTATCTTGTATTTGTTGTAGTGAGCAATAAATTTTGAAGACTACTTTCACATTCAACTTTTTGAAAATACGATCCAATTCGTCGGTGTATCTTTGTTCATACGAAAGGACAATAAACTTTGAATTAATGTCTCTTCGAAAAGATGAAATTTACGAAGATTCTCCCTTAATTTACGTTTCCTAATCAACTCATGCAATGTATTTGCAGATTAATCGTTGCTTTCAGCTATGTCCCTGATAACATTTCTCCCAATATCGTATTTTGCTTTTCTCAAGGGGAACGTAACAAGACTATGGATAAGAATGTTCAGACCTGCCATTTTGTGATGTGCACGATGATGGCTATAACGAATATATCTAGAAGTACTGGTATTTTTGTCTATTGACGTTAACTGCTAGACCTTGGTTACTTCTAATCACTAAGACATCCAAGAATGGTAACTCCTCGTTGTTTTAATTCCATACGTAAACTCAATATTTGAGATTTTTTGTTAAGGGTTGAAACAGAGTTTTCTACTTTTGATTTCTTTGTAACAAAAATCGCAAATACCTCGTGTACATAGCTGAAAGCAACGAATATTTTATAAATATAGTGGATAAGTCAATTAGGAAACGTACATTCAGATAGAATCTCCGTAAATCACCGTTTGTTGTCATTCCATGTGAACCAAGGTACACATAAAAATTAGATCGTATTTTTTTTATTGAACGTGGAAATAGTCTTCAAAACTTCTTGTTTATTTAAAAAAATGTTACCAGGTTACCCTGAAGGTAAGTAATTGGAAAATGAAAAGTCGGGGATATATGAAATAAGCTATGAGAACTATGACAAAAATATATCGGTCAGACTAACCCAGACATTAAAACACGTTTCAAAGAACAAGCAGCACCAAAGAAATCTACTATTGCCCACCGCGGCCATAGAAAAAATGAAAACTATCAAACTGAATGAAATTGTTGGAATAGTACATGACAGTATATTTTTGAATATTTCCGAAAATCTAGGAATAGTAAAGTGTAGCATGAGAACTATGAACAGTGACAAAGGTCCATTCCAAACAGACCTTCATTTACCATTTAATGAATCACAAATTTCAACCCGAAATCGTTGATATGTACCGGAAAGTGTACTTGGTTAAATATAAATAGAGACCAATTTTAGGGTAGAGAATTATTTTTTTTCATCTCCTGAAGACGTCATTTTGGTTGGTGAAACACGCGTCGAGAACAGTATAGCTCTGGATTATGGAAAGTTTTTGTTTTGAATATGAGAGAGATATTATAGTGTTGAAATATTGGTTGTTTCAAAAATTTTGCCAGTTTTACTGTGTTTTTGTAGCTCCATGTTAGGTGAGTATTCAAATGGTCTCATTAAAGTGATTTAAAAAATTACGAAACACACATCAAATCATCCTGAATTTATAAATATGAGTAGTATAGAAACGATCATAAAAAATGGCATGAATATGTTGTAAAAAAAATGTGATCTGTTGTCCCGGAGTCAAAGAAAAAAAAATTCATCAGAATTTCCATTGTTCAGACCACTTGAATTTTCAGCCATGATGATGAATTCGCCTTTATTGTCTTCAATTGTTTGAATAACTTGGATTGTGCTTGAACGTTCTCGTTGTTTTTCTAGCATCTTCTTGTACTGGTAACAATCTCTTTTAAGTGGTTTCTTCTTCCACAATGTTCACAAATTATATGTGAGACTTTATATAGTGATTTGTAGTATGACTTCTTCATTCTTGTGTTTCCGGTTACTTTGTGTTTCTTGAATCTGACACCTGAGGTTCCTGAGGTTGGTTGATTTCCCATCTGCTGTACCTTCAAATCTATACTGTTATCATTTCTCTTCATTTAAACCTCATGATCTAACAGTCTCATTTTCACAAAAGCGATGTTTAGGTTATCTTCTATGAGGGTTTCAAGAGCTGTTATGACTCCATCGTATGAAGAGGGAAGAGTCAGCAAGAGATGAGACACCTTATCCATTTCATCTAATTTAGCTCCAGCGAAAACGAGTTAGGTTACCATTTCATAGAAATGGTTTTAAACTCAATAATTGTTTTCTCATAGCCAGTTGAGTTGCAAGACTTCTTCGTTCATAAATGACATCCAGGCTTTTTAGAATATAAATTGATGGATGTAGCCGTTACTACGTGGTAGGAAATCATAATGAAAAGAGAAATGAAACCACTTTTATTTGTGCAATAAGTTTGTTATAAGTTTGAAAATGTCCGCATAGGACGAAACTGCAGTAACGTTAGTTACAAATAAAAGTGGTAAAAAACATAGAAAGTTTCATTTCTCTTTTCATTTTCAGAATATCTTTGGCAGAATGTTCTTCTCTTGCGAAGCTCAGAAAGGAATCACTCAAGTATTCAACTATTGTGCTCTTTGCGTTCAGATATTTTTTTGTCCATTCGTTATCTTGGTTTTCAACATCCTGGTCTATAATATCCAAAACTTGTAGTTTAGCAAGTAGTGATTTCACACGGAACTTCCAGACGCCATTACGTTCTCCATTGAATGTTCGAATGTTTCGTTTATTATTTTTGATATCCATTTTATTTACATAGATCAGATTCACAAGAACGTAAGTTCACTTTTGATTTTGTTTCAAGTACATTGGGCCCATAACCTGTTAGGATAGGGCATGAAATTAAAACGATCAGTTTAGGTAGACTCACTTATATTCAGTTATACATGCTATTTTTATGAATGCTCAGAATCAACTGACTAATATATATGTTATATCTAACTCATAATATCTAATCATTCCAGTACAGATATGATTCATATTCGCAACGTTTCCATTATATAGTTATATTAGAATTAAATAATAAGCTAGAATACAGGATCATTCCTATTCAATGTTCTATTGATAAACCCAATACTCCATATCTCAATAAATATTTATTCTACTGTACCATGATATATACTGATCGATAGAGAATTTTATACTCTATACGAGCATATTGATGCTGTTAATTTTTTTTCCAAATTTTAATTTTTTGCCTCTTTTCAGCTCTATATGATGTCGTTGAACGATTTTCTACCAGTTTTTCTCTACGGACTCAAATTGAACCAAAGCGCTGTCGAAACAGCCCGAAAAATTAATCGGGCATTTGGCAATGAGTGTTGATGAACGCACGCATGCAAAATTTCGTTCCGGATATTTTAGCCTCGAAGATGAGCCCCGAAGTGATTGACCTACAGAGGACCTACGAGGACTTGAAGATCCTGGTGGAGACTGACCCACCACAAACGATGTGTGGGATGTTGTAAGAACTAGGCGTCAGCTCCCATGTAGTTTTTGATGGTTCAAAATGTATTGCAAAGGTTACATTTCGACGTATCTTCTTCTTTGCTTTTGCGCAACCAAAACGATCCTTTTTTGGATCGGATCGTCACGTATGATGAAAAGTGGAACCTGTACGACAACAGGAGACGTTCTGGACAGTGATTGGACACCGATGAGCCACCCAGGCACTTCCCAAAGGCAAAAACCCACCAAAAAAAAATACCATGGTTACTGTATGTTGGTCAGCGGCTCATGTGACTCACTATAACTCTCTGCAACCGGGCCAAACCACACAGCAGAGTTATATTGTGAGGAAATCGACGAAATGTGCCAAAAATTGCGTCAGCAGCAGCCGGCACTGGTTAGCAGAAGAGGTTCAATCCTGCTCCACTACAACGCTTGTCCGTACGTTTCACAAATCACCGTCCAAAAATTTAAGGAATTGGGCTCCGAAGATCTGCCTCACCATACTCCTTTGGCCTCTCGCCAAACGACTACCATCTTTTCAAACACTTTGATAACTTTCTCACCGGTAGAACCTTCGCCAATCAAGACCAGGTGAAATCGGCCTTCGTCGATTTCATCGAATTCCGAGCACTCGATTTTTATGCTGACGGAATTAACTGTCTTGTGTAACGTTGGCCCTGATCTAAATGTAATATCTTAGTGAATAAGTATTCACTCAAATATTACACTTTAACGTAAACTCATGAAAACGGACCACATTTTTGATACAACCTACAAGAAATCATGAGTTAATGCAAACTAAAAAGATATATAATCAAAAAATGTAGAATTATATTTCAGTGTACATATTGCTTCATTTGTATTGACCCAATTAAATATTACAATTTTTGTGGGCGACT